GAGACACAACGATATATAATAAGTATAAGAAATGAATGAAAGATGTCACTATTATCGAATTTGGAATTTTAAAAAATCTGTAATATCGACTTCGATCAAGTTCGGTCATCGATCCAGCATCCCCTTAAATTCTATTAATTCTTTTGATAATACATTAATCTCTCGTTCTCACCTCTGGCGCTGAGAGCGATGAAGGTCTGCGCGTGCCTCCGGACCATCACAGTGTCACAGGTGTGCGGCAACGACAATCTGCTGAGGATGTGCATTAGGAAGTCTCCGGGCGTCACCGCGGATAGTTCCCACTTCAGCTTCGAAACGACCAGCTGCTCCCACCTCTGCAATGAAAACGAGACAGATGTCGTTCGATTAGCATCTCGCAATTAACACTATTCAAGCGAAAGGTGCGATAAAAAGAGAAGGCAACATGAACACAAACTATAGGTGTTACGAAATTCTGATCAGCTCGTTATTTCCCTCGTTATTAAAAAAAAATTAAGTATTGCAATTATTTCGGACTAAAATTATCTGACGTAAATATCAATGCAGTTTCAATTATATTATAAGAAGAAGTTTAATCTAAGGCACATAAATGTTTATTTACATTAATGTAACGAATACATTAGTGTAATAAATAAACATTTACGAATATATTTATGTGAAAGTGTTGTAATTGTTCGCGTTATTTATCTCCCATAATTTTCCACAACGTGTACCGTTACAATATCAGACGTGACGCGTGTATTATTATAGTAACGTGGTTGTCGGCATATACTTATATAAATAATCGCAAGAGATTCATCAGACAACCGTTAGATCTTCCTTTTTTTTACGAAAAATGTGGAGCAGTCCGTTTCATCATAGCTACAGTAAAAAATGCATGGCCCGATTTAAATAAGTCCCTTTAAACACGAGAGCATTAAACCATCTTTAAATCGTCGATAATTATACAGGTGCGACGACGACATCGTCAAAATTCAGGCTTGATCTCTGTCTCAAGTGTAGAATACAAGAAAGGAGGAAGGAAGAGAGGGAAAAGAGAAAAACAGAGAGAGAGGGGTGAGAGGGGGGTATGGAGGGAGGGAGGGGGAGGGGGGTGAGGGGGGGGGGACAAAGAGAGACAAAGAGTCTATCCTTTCTCTAGCGAGGCTACTACGTCCGCTCTTTCGAGTACGTCGTAGTACCCCCGTTCTCTTTCGACCGTGAAATTACATGGCGGGAGTAACGCGCGACGAGTACTACGTGTCCTTCGTCTTGATCAAAAGTCCATTGAATCCAGCTCGCCTCCCATCGCTCAGCTGTGACGAAACTGAGCAACGTGACTCCGTTTCAAGTACGAGAGAGCATATTGCAGAGGATCTTGAGCGATAAGAATAAAGAATATACATTACTATAATAGACATTATATTCGTAATATATGCACTAACAAGTAATTAAGGATGCGTATACATTATACATTTTAATTTATGCTACGGTAACTTTCGCTCAGGGATTATAGGTACGTATAATATATCTATGAACTCATCTATACTTTTAAATTATGAAATAACAAAAAAATTGATGTAATAACATTTTCCGACGTTAAAATTATCTTGTAAAATAATTGGAGAATGTAACCATGTATGCTAACGCAGTTTCATTTAATTGATTTAAAAATCTCTTTGTTCCCTTCTTGTTATATTGTATGCATAATATCCTACATATTATAAACAGAATTGTGATTTAATTTTATAACCTAGAACTGAGCTTCAACTGGAAACGGAAACTATTAAATATTCACATAATTTTAAAAGGCACGTATTAATAATGTTGATCGTGTTACAATGAATATTTCATGTGGTTTTCGTGCAAGCCCACTCTTAATGATCTATAATGATCTATTCACACAGAAATTCGGAACATAGAATTCTAAATATAATTTCATATGCCGTATTTCTGTGCATATATGTATCTTGTACATGTATGTGCTTCTTCAAACTTTATTTTGTATTTCACACATAAGAACAGGTAGAATTACATCCTAACTTATAAATTGATTATTATTATAGGTTCACTATATATATATAAAATAAAGCTTTGCAAAAATTATCATAGTCATAAACTAGCTGACCGTCTTGTACGACAAAAGATAGCTAATTATTTCATTAATTATGTAAGTACACATAGAAGACATAAATGTCAAGATGCGATTATACAGTAAAAGTAAAATCAATTATACAAAATGCAAATTTGTGTTAGAATCACATTCTGAGCGCGAGGGAAACAGAAGTAAGGTGATCTGTCCGTCGTCGTCGTCGTTGCCGTAATCGTGTACAAGCCAAATTAAAGTCCTCGTCAAATGGAAGAGGATGTGCGCTCGAGGGAAGACACAAACCGAGAGGGAGTCCCTCCCTCTCCTCTCCACGGCTCATTCTCATCCTTGAAGGGGTTCCGCGCTCGAGTGCGTGCGTGCGTACGCTCGCCATTCGCGCCGGCTCTTCTCTCGTACGTTGGTTGTCGGTGAATGAAACAAAGGCTCGTACACACCGAAAGGATAGGAGAGCCGACGACGTAATGACAGCGGCGATGTGTAAAGCGCTGTTACTCTGCTAGGCAGAACGGGTCCCGTCATATCGTGTGTCCTACTTTCGTTCCTTGATGCAATTTTTCCCTTTGGTGAAGCACCTTATTTAATTTTAATAGCGCCATTGTCTGTTACCGGGTAAATCATGTGATACTATTATTCTCTTATATAATTATTTTTATTACATTCTGTCATGTTGCTCCCTTGACTTCGGAATTAATACCTACATATATTCAGCCTTTTGTTGCATAATTTCGTATTATCCATATCTATTTAAAAAATTACATTTACTGGGAGCTATAATACGTATCATAAAGTTATTATTGTCATCATTAATTGCAACTTTTTCTGTACATTAAAATCTTCTGTACCTTAAAATTTGACGCAGTTACACGTCACGTCTACAAAGTCAATAATCAATAATTCATGGGGATAAATATTTGCATAAATATTTATGATATGTTATGACGCGTTGTTTGATCTGCTTGGCAGATATTATACATGTAAAACGCTCCGCGCGACGATGCACATCCCGCCGTCACTCGTCAGAGTTGCACTCACGGCGCGTGCACGCATGCTACAAATGCGTGCGTACATGTAACGTAATAACGCGTAATGATTCACGAAGGAGGATAATTGCCGAACGCGATCGGCGATGATAAGTGTGCTCGGTGTCGCGCGTCATTCTGATAATAAAGTAGGCGCTCGATGTATTCACCCTCCACCTATGCGCGATATACACCATACTAATTTCCATATTACGTTAAAGTGCGTTATTATATTACGCACGCGCGTAGCATTATGTTGCAAGGAGTCTCGGGCAACGCTGCAACGATATCTGATTTTTGTCAATTCATCAATTATCGTTAAGCGCAGCTCTTCGTGTCTCCGAAGAACTTCTCGAGAAACATTAAGAATTCACGAATCATCGCTCGATTATATTCTCCGAAACCAGTTTCGTAGAATCAGATTCATTATCTTTGGCAATCGATGATAATCTATTATATATTCGCGTTCGTAGTGTTGGGATTTCCGTTCCCTATTAGTGTGCATTATGAATCGATACTCGGCCTCCAATGACATCGGATCAAGATAAAAAAAAAAAACGAGAAAGGTACAGGATGGAGGGTAAAAAGATGATACCGAAGCATACCGTGGGTTATGGGAAAGCAGGTGGCAGCTAGATGACGCTTTCACTTTTTCTTTCTATACCTTTGGGAGTCGGTCTTGGGAATCCAAATGACCCGAATGTACTTCACAATCGATGCACAACCTCCATAGGGGTGAAATTATATACATTTCTTTAATTATATACAATATTTGGTAAGGCGACGTATCATTTATAATCTGTAATTCTAATTCTAACGGAATCAATTTCGCACGCAATTTTATAGATATTTGTACCTTTAACCGATCTACCTTATAGCTCACCGTCACCCGATTATCGTTACCTATATATATTAAGATCGTGGCATAATTTTTTCAATAATAATACAATTTGCGCAGTTCTTATGCTAAAATATGAGTCATGCAAGTGCAAGGACAATTGTGGCACTTAAACACTAATGACTCAACTTACAAATAATTCGTATATAATTATCACCAAGGTATTTTTACTCAACAACCTAATATTATCCAGTCTATAGTGTCAAATGTACAGTACTAACTCGTTAATACGCCTAAACTCGTCTCTTCGCCAAGAATATCCAGGTACGTTCCAATCCATTAATTATCGTTAAGCGCTCTTCTCGTCTCTAAATAACTTCTTCAGAAACAATAAGAATTCGCGACTCATCGGATTAATATTCGTATCCGTTGGAATTTCGTAGAACTAGATCGATCATCTACGACGATCGATTATAAAATCTGTATTCGCGATTGTGGCCTTGAGATTTCCATTCCCTAATATTAATATGTATATTATACCACGTCGTTAATTCGCAAGAATGCTCATTGTTCGGGATTGTGACAAATTCATGGCAAATTCTTCGAAAATGAAGCGAGTCAGAATATTTTAAGGAAAATATTCTAACCCACTTCGTTTTCTGAACCAATTAAATCAATTGTTTTCTACTTTGTGTAGAAAAATGAATTTCGTAGCGTTTGGGCTTATCTTAATCTGTTGTCATGTTTGGGCGAATGAGAACAACAATAATTGTAAGTAGATACTTATATTTTTTCTCCTCTAATATTTTTCTGAAGATGTATCGAACAGTATTTTTCCAGAAATGTGTTGTCCTTACAATTAAAGATTTTATGACAACAGTGGGTTAAAATTCCTATTTAGTAAAAGCAAAGAAAATAATTTCTAAAGTTAAAGTGACACAAAAAGTACATTTATTTGCACATTGTTACATTGTTAGCCCACTGTTGTAATAAAGTCTTCAAATGATATCAAATTCTATCTCGTCTATTTTTAAATCATCTATTTTTAAGCCATCTATTTTTCAACATTCTATTTTTCAGCCGTCTGTTTTTGACGGTATCTCTTTCGAGAAGGAATTTAATAGACATTTTAGACATTATACATATATTTAAATAAGTCTATTGACGAATAGTTAATTTTTATACAATTTTTTTGCAGTGTATTCCGCATTTATGTCACTTTCCGCATATAGATCTTTCCATAACCTCACTAATTATTTTAACCTTGTAAGATCTTTTTTTAATAATAATATTCCATCAAAAAAATATTATCAACATCATTATTATTCAATGTTAAATATCAACATCGTTCTAACTCCTTATATATGTTAAGCACTAATTATATATGACGTATATGTTTAGTTTTAGTTAGAGGGACCTACGGGCAAAGAACACCGTTAAAAGATTACCTCGAAAATGAAGTAAGGCGCATCATGCAAAATGGAGACAGTACGTTTGGAATTCCGGTTCTTGATCCGCTTATTGCGGATAAACTGTGTCAGTTTAATTTTTAAAGAAACATGTTGACTGCTAACACGTTAAATTAATAATATACTCATCCATAGACCAACAAAAGATATTATCATGATTATAAGCTTTTAATCAATATCTTTTACTTTGTTGTCATTTTATTGATACAGTAGATTATATACCTCTCTTAAAGAGAGATATATTTTAAAAGTACAGTTTTTGACCAAGCAAAATGTTTTAATTTAACGTGTATCACGTATAGCATGAGTAGTCAACGTATTATAAACGATAGTTCATTATTAGATATCATATAAAGAACAAAGTATAAACACCTTCGTTATGTCTTCAGCTTCGGGGTTTTGTCAAACGTCAATGTAACTGGCTTGTCCGCGTATGAAGTTAATGACGCTGACTGCAGTATATTTACTCTGATGTTCAGCCTCGATCTAAACTGGCCATTGATAACCGCAAGAGCCAATTATTCTATCAACGGAAAACAACGAATTTACCAAAACAACAAAAACACCGAAATTAATGGAAACGGAGGAATAGAGTACGTATTTGATTCATTTGAGAGATTCTAATTATCATATTTCGATGAATTCGTGATTTTCCAATGCCTATAATACGCGAAAAAGGATCTTGCTGCCAATTTTTGCGTTTCATTTATTTGCCAGTAAAAGACAAAAAGAAATCTAAGCTTCAGCGTATGTTAGTGTTTCAATCATTATAATTTAAAATATGTAATTATTATAATAATATACAATATTGTAATTATCATTTATATATGTACAGTAGACCTCTGTTTACCTGTACTCCATTTATACGAACAAATTCGTATTCAGTATAAACTTATACCTTCCAAATGAACTCAAGCTACGTAATTTGGATAATAGGAGCTTGACTTCAGTTTTCTAAACGTCAGCTCTTATTATCAAAACTAATACACTGATAAAAGGGAAGGTTAGTGAGCCTCTATTATCCGAACTATTAGATTATCAGAACTATCTTGTCCTTTGACATGTCCCCTGATATCGGATAAACAAAGTTCTACTCTGTGTGTGCACGGGCGCGCGACACACATAAAATCACAATATGTATTAAATAATTAAAAAACTACAGATGCAGAGAAAAAAAATTGATAAAAATCGATCCTTTCCTCATAGAGAACGTTCGTTTTTCATTTCATTTTATTTGTATTTTATTTGAATGTGCTTGAAATATGTAAAAAAATACGAGAGGATAACAATGGGCCTATTCCTTATAGGCCTGTTCTTTTCAGCTGAACTTTTGCATCAGTTCATCTTTCTTCCTTCTCTTCAGGAGGAAAGAAGAGGAAGAAAGATGAACTGGTACAAAAGTTCAGCCAAAAAGGACAGGCCTTTTAATTGAACTTCTTGAACAGTTCTTTTTTCTTTTTTTCATATTGAGAGAAAAAGAAAAAAGATAAACTGCGCAAAGTTTATTTAGAAAGAACAGACCTAATGAATTAGCTGGTTTTTATTTAATGTTTTCATGACTTTATCTGGCGATGCCAACTGTGACAAGACTCATTACTAAATCGTGACTGAATTATATGCTTCATGCGAAACATGCCAATCCGGCTCAGAAGAATTTCCCTATTAAAAATTAGGATACTTCTCTCGTGCGCGTCCACCATTAATAGGGAACGAGCGTGTGAAATAGAGTGAGAAAGCAGTAAGTTATTTTACTGTCTTACACTGAGAATAAATGTATTAAATTTTAATAAAAACTTTATTTCTGATTTATTGTATATTCGTATCAATGGTCTCAAAAGATACTGTATTTAATATTGTTAATAAAATTTATTTGAATGGTTCCAGTTAAATATTTACTAAATGTAAACATATATTTGTTTGGTACAAGAACCATTAATTTGATTTAACTATTATATTTTTTATTTAACAAATACTTATTTTCCATAAATGAATGTTATATTAGTACTATTTTATTTTTCTAGGTGTACTTCTTCTCTTCTTCTCATGTCTTCCCTATTATATATGGTGGATTCATCATAAATCGATACGCTATGTCCTAACTTTTATTAGAGAAACTATATATAGTGTTTAGTTTTCTTACGATGATCAGGTTCACCCTCAGTCAATTACGATTGCTTTGACGGGAATTTAGATAACATTTTCTTCTGGATTTAAGAAAATTCATCATTCTATTATTAAATTGAATAATTTATATTTAAACAAATCTTTTTAACACTTACAAGATCAAGAAAGAAGATTTTTGATGGAGATTATGTTTAAATTTTTGAAATGATTATTTTATTGTCACTTATACTATTTTATAATTAAGTGTTTAAAATTACAACAGGATACATTTCTATCGATAATTTTTTTAAATAAAAATTTAATTAAAGAGATCGTAGAAAAAAATTGAAGTTAAAAAAAGATATATTTAATTTTCAGTGCAACCGTGCATGACTTCAAATTTAAAATTGTCATTAATTTTAAATTAGAGAACGGACATATCCAAATTAATGAAATCAACCCAATGAATACTGCCTTGGGAGCATTTGACGTAAGTAATTATTGTAAACTACATATTGTCAATTCTTTTCTGCCTTTTTGTAATCGTGATCGTCAAGAATCGCGCCCAGCGATTAAGCCGTTGCAAAAATAATATTGTATATAAAATAAATGATATATTTTACGTTAACAATCGTTAAATAACTTCTGACAGAAAATAAAATATAATATAATTAAAAAAACTCTTTTGATAGTTTTCATATATCTCTCAAAATGAAAGAATTCTTATGTGAACTTAAACTGTAAATTTTTTCTAGAACATTACACATGTTTAATTTTGAAAAATCGTACAAAATAGTTTAATAAATTCGTAATATGTTGATTAGTAATATACTAATTTCTAGATTACATTAGTTGTTATACGAGGAAATTACTGTTAATTGTATCACGTCGTTTCTTGCTCTTCAATTTGCACATAAAAAGGCGATTTAATCGTACTTGTAAAGATATGAATCTTTGGCAAACAACTATTATAGAAAAAACCAAAAAATCTACAACTCATTTAACTGAAAAAATTATTATTAAATTCCCAGAAACTTTATGAATAATAAATATATATTCATATATCAAACAAAATATATTTAAATAATAATGTAGAGACGGTAAAAAGATTAAAAAAAGAAATAAGTTAATTATGACTGAAAAGTCGATTAGTTTAATTATTTCGGCACAAACTGATTTAAATTCTCCACGTATTAATAAATTTATTTTAATTGGAAAAATAACAAATTTGTAACTGAAATTATCGGAGTTCAACATTTTACTTGTAACGACTTGGTGAAAGCCATAACGTTATTTAAGTCATAACGTCTCTCATTTCTCAATCAGTTTGAATGTAACCGTATATATGGAATGTAACGGTAATTACGTTTTTGTTATAATTTTCATTTTTCTTAATTTTCAACAAAATTTTCTTTCCTGTTTCTTTTCGTTCACAGTTTCACATGTCGGGCCTCTACAAAGATGATAAAAAGAATGCTGAATTAAGCAAGATGATCTCTGATAAGGTACTTAAGCTGATCAATAAAAACCAAAACGTGATTAAGGACACTTTTATTAATATCATCATAACGATTTTCAACAAATTGATGTCTAATGTAAATCTTGGCAATCTAATTAAGCCTATAAGTTAATTTAATTAATTAGTTAACCTAATGAAGTTAATTTAAAGATATTTACTACTATAAAATTATCTTTTTGTCATATCGATGCTACGCTATTGTATGATTAATCTGTTTGGTAATCTTTGTTTTATCACTTCTGCAATCATGATAGATTCAAGTCGAAACAATGCAAGGTATGATAATGCAATTAAAAAGTGTTTGTTGATAACATTGGCAAGAATAAAAAATCCTTAACAAAGTTTGTAATTTATTTCTGTAATGTGCCGATAAAATCAGTATTATAATCACAAGCGTGAAAAGAGTGTTTTTTTTCTCTATAATAAGATTTCCTTTTCATTCTTTGTGGCATTTTTGTACTAATATTAAAAATAGAGTACATCATATTTTCAATATATATAATAAAATATGAAAAGTAAAAGAAGAAATATATCTTATACAGGGTATCCCAAAATTCACAATACTCTGGCAAGGAAGTTCTCGGAAAATTAAGTAAAAAAGTTATTTGTAAATTTTTATTTTAAGCAGTAATTTTTGAGATAATAAGGGTGTTTAAATATAGCCAATTACAGACTACATTTAGACAACCACCTATCCATGGCATGCAAGTATTAATGACTGTTGATGGTGAACGCTCACTTCAGCGTGCACTAATAGTTACAGGTGACTATCTAAGTAGCTTATAATTGGCCATATTTGAATCATTATATCTCAAAAAATATTACTTAAAATAAAAATTTACAAATAACTTTTTTACTTAATTTTTCGAAAACTTTCTTGTTATAGTATTTTGAGTCGCGAATTTTAGTACACCTTGAAAAAAAAATATATGTATATAATATATATATATATATGTGTGTGTATATATGTATACATGCATATATACTCTTCAGAAAAGAATTTTTAAAAATATAATTTACATTTTTTTATATAACGTTAGTAGTTTGATTATCTCAATAGCATTTTCCGGACACTTAATTTCTTAATTAGTATATTAGATAAAATTATGGATATTGCATAATTATGGTACATATTATGCACACTTGTGTAATTATGTTGGATGTCTTGCGTTACCATCAAAGTATGAAAAAAAATCTTCACGGCGCTTTACATTTACATTTCCGGTCTGCAAATTTATTAGATAAAATTATGGATATTGCATAATTATGGTACATATTATGCACACTTGTGTAATTATGCTGGATGTCTTGCGTTACCATCAAAGTATGAAAAAAAATCTTCACGGCGCTTTACATTTCCGGTCTGCAAATTTATGATCGTTCTCCATTCACGGTGGTATCGACGGCTAGGTCAATAACTATCGATCGATAGGCGGGGAAAATGCGGGGCATTTATGCGTCTCATTCATGCATGCGCGCGCGCGCGCACGCGCGTCCATGCGATCATGTTCGCACGGTTTTGAATCGCGCACCTCGGCGTCCCGCTTTCCTGAGCGTGAGAAAGATAATCCCGACACATATGTGACTCGCTCCTTTTTTGTAATATTCGATGCACCGAATATCGTGACACGGGAAAACGAGATAGGACGTCGCGATAACGTCTCATGAGCGAGAACGCGTATAATTATGATGATTAATCGTAATTACCGCGTATTCACGTGGTTCCGTCGATGTGGTCCGTCTCTTTTTTTTTCTTTTCCTTCATCTGGCTCTTAGGACGTCCAGATAATGCCGGTTTCGGTATTAGTGGGTGGTGAAATCGCTGACAGAGATGGTCGGCGAACACACGAAGAGATCGGGAAAAGAGTAGCGGAAG